AGCCTGCCCGCTGCCGCTCACTCTAGCCCGCCGTTTGTGACGCTGTGTTTCGTTGTGAAAGCGAAGCTACTTTGTTTGGTCTTCCAAAAGAGGACACGACTAGAAATCAGTGGTTAAGTTGTTTTTACAACACTGTTCCAGAACACTTCAACCCAAATATTCAGATGTGTGCAGCGCATTTTATGGAGATGGAGGACTGTTTCCTGGGAGATTAGACTACAATGCCAGCTGTTCTGACTCACAGACTGTAAGTACGTTTTTTATATTTAAAGAATTTGCCACTGATGATTCAAATGAGAGTTTTGGGCAGTGTAGAGAAGCGCTTGTTGTTTGTAATTTCTCCGATGACAAATGCAGACATGGTTTTATGTTTACGCAGCGCGATGCAACGCAACGCGTAAAAAGACAGTATAAGTCATTATAATCAGTAATTATGTCCCCACTGGATGCAACAAATGCCTCATCTATAATGGGTTTTAATGTTTTTGAATCATCGCTCCGGCCTGACAGGGCATCATCACAATATGGCAAGGGGCGTAACATTTCCGTCACACGCTCGAGGTATTCGGCCAATCACAACGCATTGGATAGCTGGCCAATCGACGCGTCTCAAAAAGGCATAGAGGAGAAACAATAATGTACAGTATGTGGAAAATAATGTGTTTTTTTAACACGCTTGAGGTATTCGGCCGATCACAACGCACTGGATAGCTGGCCAATCAGAGCACACCTCGCTTTTCAGACCGATAAGCTTTGTAAAAATCAACGCGTTTCAGAAAGGAGGGGGCATAGAGGAGAAAGCAGCATCATATGACCCCTTTAACAGAAAACCATCGCCATCTAGAGGATGTGAAGAGAACAATTCCATAAACTGAACAGTTACTTACTGCTGTCCCAATCTCATTTCCATCCACAGGGTCACCCAAAATATTTAGGGCCACCAATGCAACCTAGAATTTCGGAAAGAAAGTCAATCAATCTTTATTACAGACTCAAGGTCCAAATTAAAAAAAAAAAAAAAAAGTGAAAGTGATATGACATTGATATGATTACAATAAACAAATCAACCCTAATTCCACACACGAATCTCTTTGTACCTGATTGTAGCTGTTGTATTGATTAACATGGTTTCTGTGAAAGGTAAGCTTCAAGTAAGACCCAACAGCATCAACATGAACAGACTTCAGCTCTCTGGCTCTGAAACCAGTCTTCTCGTTGTCAGAGAGAGACACATACCTAGAAAACACATTACACTCAATACAGTTAGTTCAGAAAAAAGTGTCTTAATGAGATGTGATTAGGTGTTATATACTGAATCACATTATACGTTGATAATGACCAGAACAAAGCAGTGATCTAAAATCTTTCCTCACCCCAATCTGTGAAGATTATGAGTCTGCTGAGGCGAGCTGGACTCCGGCAGTCTGTCTCCAATGTGGAACTCGATCTTGGATGGGATCAGGTACTGATGGGCCAGTAGCTGGAGTTTCCTGATGCAACATCTCTCAACCAACTGCAATATGATTTCCTGAGGGAATGGACAGAACCTACACACAATAATTAAAACAATATTCCTTAAAAAGCATTTCAGAACTATAATCTTTGGTAAAAAAGTAACCATAACCAGCTATTAAAGTGAATATTATCAGCTATTAAATAACCTTGATAGTTATCAATTATTTATCATTATTATCCTACTTCTACAGTTTGTCTTCGAAACCAATCCTAACTAAATTATATTAAATACATCGTAAATAATATAAAATTAATTGACCTGGTGGATCTCCAGCCACTGACAGTGGGCGCATGGACCATCAGCTTTTTGGCACTGTAGTTTCCTTCATGACCAGACCAGCTGATCACAGTGAAGCCTATCTTATGAGGCATCCTGTACCTGAGCTCTGATGAATGTAGGATATGAACAATACATGATGTTTAATTTCACAAAGCACCAGCACTCAAACATAAAACATATAGAAAGAACCTGTAATTTGGCAACATTCCTTTACATGAGAGTAATATGTCGCTTATGATGTATCCTTAGAGGTATATCTATGCAAGGTATATCTATTTTACTCCATTAAGTTACCACATTGGCAGCTACTTGTTGTAACACTGTAATTTCAGTGAAGTCTACACTTAAATATTGCATATGTATTCAGAGGTTTGCTGCTTATTATGAAGAACTTTAGTCATAATTAGGATTGTTATGTAAAGAATTTAGCGTTAGCGTGTAATCTGGCTAACGTTAACTAAACAGTAACATTACGGTTACAACTCATCTCAAACAGCGATAAGGAGCTTAATCACAAACCACACGTTAAACAGATAAAGCTCAGAAACACTCATTCTTAGAGTAGTACTAATATTCACTATTTGGCAGATAAAATCTCGATAAATAAGTCGTTTACCCAAGTACAGCAGCTGCCTACGTTTATCTCCATAACCACCGTTTGACAACTGAAACGTGTGCGCATGCGCGAATTTTTCGTTCGTTCTTGAAAGAATCCCGGTGTTTTTGAAGGAATCTTTTAGGTGAACGAATCATTTCGTTCACTTCCGTGTACTGGCTCTTGTTCACTTCTATGTAACGTACAGTACTTTTGTTCACTAAAGTCTACCCTAGTTGAAGTACGTGTCTCACATGCAGCGTTCTAAACGATATAAAAATGTTTTTAGTCTTTATTATTATTATTTTATTATTTATATACTACCTTTATATAAAATTTTCTATTTATATTTCCCCTACTAAATTCTATATTCTTTTTTCTACTTTATTCACAAATTTCTTAATAGTTTATTATATATTAT